GACGTTCCCCAGAGCTCAGAGGCTAGTTGCATAAAACTGCTTTGGTTCAATTCCCCTGCTCTGTGTTTCTTTTCAGTGATTTTGGATCTTACAGATATTCTATTAAGTAACTCGGCACTTTGAAATCAATGTCTTGGTGAAGTGGAATGAAATCCATACTTGATACATAAGGCGTTTTGTGCTTCTTGGCCCTTTAACCATTATCAGAGAGCTGTGAGAACAAATGTAGATCTTTACGCAGGGCAGGGTACTGTACTGCGATTGCTCCAGTCAGCCCAGCTAAGGAGATGATAAGTAGATGACATCATTCTTTGGGAGTAGAGGGGTGTGGTCAAGCTGTGATGGACAGAGGATAAGGATGCCCTGTTGACCAGAGCAATGAGAGTTCTCTATTCTCCATTCTGGATTATCTGGATAAAATCACCTGTGACCCACCCCTTAGTCTAGTGAATGACTTTAACCAAAACCTTTAAGAACTGCTAACCGTTACTTCGAAAGCTTTTAATGATCTGCATGTCCCGTCCCTGTGTGTACATAGAAATGGTGAGCTAAAACATAAGTGCTTTCCTTTACAACAAAAAACAGGGACATGGGCTACAAATGTCGGTGCATTTAGCCCTTCAGCATTGTGTTCCTTATATCAAGAGCTTCCTGAATGAAGATGCTTTGGAGGGTTAAATTGGTCAGCAAGCTGCCCCCTTAAGACACTAGTAAAAGTGCCCAGCATCAACGTCCTTCAGCCTATGTATTACATGACATATGACTCTGTAATCATCTGCTGGGTGTATATTGGCATAGAGCAGGCAGCTGTCTGTCTGGGGTGTTTTGACCTCATTGGTTTTAAGACAGGAAGGAGAGGACTGGCTTCTCTTTCAGATTTGTCAACATGTACCATATCATCCATAAAAACCCTGATACCAGGCTCGACTACATTTCTGTACGTTTGGACATCTGGGAAATATTAAAAATGCATCGCTCTTTTGTGCAGAGATATTGAGTGTTTTTTAATTATTTATTCTGTGTGTTTGGCTTTCTGCATTAAGGTTGTATACCTTGAGATCCAAAGGCAGGGTGTTTTCTTTGAGGCAGCCAAACCCATTGCATCCCTCGCTGTGGCTAATCTCTAGGTTTGGATCTAGGTTTGTACCATCCTTACACCTTGGGCAGTTGAATGAGCTGTCATTTGCAGGCGGAATGGAATGCTTCAACTTGTGTTTTCATGGCGGTTTACTGTACTTCACAGCACCTTTGCTATAGCAGGCTCTCGTAAAAGTGATAAAGTAGGTGTAGGCTCCGAGGGATTTGGAGCTTTGAAAGGGTCTCCAGTGTCAAGTGAAATTTAAAAAATGCACACGTTTCCCCTTACATCCATGCGTTGATGTTACATAAAATAGTCCATTTTAAGTTTTAAGCTACACAGCTACTTCAGGAGGTCTGGCTTTTCTAAAAAAAAAGAGAAAGCTCCCCATGTACTGGAGAAATAAATGACATCTGCTCTCTTTCACTTCAAACTCAAGGAGGTTTATTGGTAAGACGGACAAATGACAGTGTAAAAAGCAATAACCGTTAGCATACAGTAAAACTGTTTTCCCTCCCGCCCATCATCTCCGCAGAAACTGGGTGATCGCTGGATTGCTGTGGGGCTGAACGGTGAACACGAAGCGAGTATCTCTGGATGGACATGTCAGGAAATAAGGCAGCGTCAGGGGGAAAAAATGCAAAGAGTCCGATCCAATACGTTTAACGAGCAAGCTTATTCCGAACAGCCTTAGTAACACTTACCACAGCGTATTATGGTAAAGGCAGGGTACAGTGCAATACAATATCATGAAATCAAGCTGAAGCATGCAAAGGGTCTGATCCAGTACCTTTAACAAGCAAGCATATTTCGGACAGCCTTAGAAACACTCATGCAACAGACATGTATGGTGAATTGTGGTGCAAACTTCGGCAATCCATTACAAGTAAACGCAGAGTGCAGGAGTGGATAAAGGTTTGGTGCATTAACACGGCAGGTTTCACAGTCATTTTATTGCTCACTGTCAAGGACGTTACCTTCCTGGGGTGTGCTGCAGCTGGAATCGGACTCAGTAGTACACCCTTGAGGTTTACAGTGCTGTTACCATGACTTCACAGTGACCTGCTGAACGCCGCCATGTTTTCACCATAAAGAGCACCCTGTTGTGCAAAACTGCACTGGTTCCAGATCAGTGTGTACCTTGTGCAGTACCGCTCTTGCCCCATGGACACCTGGGAAGTCAGGACAATGCTGCTGACACTCACACTGACTGTGCAAGGGCATTGGTGAAGAAAGTGTTAAAGTGGCTATAGCAATGCTGTGAAAAAAACAGTAGCCATCCAGATGTGATTTCTTCTTAAGTGACAACTCAGAGAAGTTCTTACACAGATTTACAAACAGAGGGGAGGGGGGTTCAAAGCATTTATTTTTTGACAGACTTTTTTTAATGGAGCTTAACAGGCTTATGTAAATCCACCTTTCACAGTGGGAGGATATATAATTCATTTATGTAGCCTTTGATAGCATTTCCTCACTAACCTTGAAAGCCCAGGAAAATCAATTCGCCACACATCCCTGTTAGTACATTGTAATACCGGCTCTCTGCCTGCCAGAGGTTTTTTTCCACTTAAACAGGGCGCAGATAGGCTCTGTGTGTGGGTGTGACTGTATTTGAGAGTGCAAGTATAAGGATCTCCAGTCTCCGTTTTTCAATAGTTAGAAAAAATCTTGAAAGCCCATTACGCCGAGATTAATAAAAGCTTCCTATTCGGCAGTATTGCATTATCCCCATCTCTGGGCTCTTCCAGATCTTTCTGATTAGTGATTTCCGTGGCTTGGAATGCTGAGGTGGGAAAATTGTTTGGGGGGTCAGGGAAGTCAAAGAAGGTTCCCGTGGAGATTCCCATGCCGTCTGTTGGAGGGACGGAGTTTTGCGTTGGAGAATCGTGGCTTTGTGACCAGTGGAGGTGGAGCTGATGTGCGGCGGAGCATGGGGAGGTGAGCCCCCCAGTCAGGGACACTGGCCAGCTCTCACAGGAGAAATGGCTCTTGTGGTTCCTTTCCTTTTCCCTCCTGCTTGGCGCAGTCCTCTCCCTTTCCTGTCTAGACCGCCGACAGTTCCTTCAACGATGCTTTCTGGCTCCGAGAGTCTCGCGACAACCCACTGCCAAACAGGCGCTGAGCAGGGGGGAGCGAATTTTGCGTTGCGCAGCGTTCGGAGGCCCATTGCTGAGGGGTGACACGTAGAGGCCGCTGCCCTCCCCCCTTACAAATCTTCAAACGCAATTCGCTCACGTTTCCCGGTAGAGGGGCAGCCACTTGCCACAACAACAGAGAAACGGCAGCACTCGCCCCCTGAGCCCTGTCGCTTGCGGCCTGCCCTGCTGGTGCAATAGTAGTAGCGAGACCAGCGGTGTTTCATCCAATGCAGCACAACAGATCTGCAAACAGCGAAACAGCGCCTGCTTTGCAATCGGTTGTCGCAAGACACTCGGAGCCAGACGGCATTGTTGAAGGAATGCTTGGCGGTCTAGGAGTGCAATGCATTGCATTCAAATCCAGCTGTGCTGCAGAATAGAGACAGTGGACCCAACTGCTCTTGATCCTAACCGGCGCTCAGGCCCGAGGAACCAGGGTTCTGTGAGCTGCAGGAAGGCCCAGACTGCGAGACCCCCTGTTGTAGTGTCCGGCAGGCTTTACACAACAGAGCAATGCTTTGAACAGGCCACAGATCAGACAAGTGTGAACGGCAGCATGTTCCTGTTCAACTGGCACCCTCATCCTGGGCCCTGTAGCACTGAAATTATCAGAGGAGGCCTGTTCAACACCTGTCAAGAGCAGAAGAACCAGGCAGCAGATCTTACAAGGAAGGATAAATAAGCCTTCAGACCGACAGAAAAATATTACTGCCCCCACCTTTTCTTGCTCTGAAAGATGAGGCCTCATCAGAAATCCTGGGGGGGCTTAATTAGACCCCAACCTGGGTGCCCTCGACAGGTAAATCCGCTTCATCCACTTCATCCACTGAGCCGCCTTTCAGTTTCCAGACACGGCTGTTCAGTTAAGAAAAACGTCAAAACATCAGACTGTGGTTGCACATCTATAGAAGCTGAATTTGTTTGCGTGCATCTATTCTGTGCATGTATATTCTGGAAGCCACCTTGGAATAAAATCCCGATCCAAGTGCATAAATAAAACAATTATAATATATAGGTATATGAGTAAGTATATAAATAAATGGCACTCCTCGTAGCTCTGGGTGCCTAGCAACAGAATCCCTCGGTTGCCTGGCAACGGGGTTGCTGCGGAATGTGCGCGTTGATTGGCAGCTGTGACAGCGATGCTTCTCTCCGGGTTGAGAAATCACACTTGACCCCTCCTAGTACAAGGGCCGGGGGGGTGGGGGGGAGGCCGAGATGAAAACAACAGTAATCATTTTCCATTTTTGTCTTCCACAACCACACCATTCCCCCCCACCACCACCACCGCCGGCTCCCCAAGTCCACAGAGCTCCTCCAGTCGTCAGCCTGTAGCACTCGCGGCCGGCAGGAGTGTGGGAAGACAACGGGGAGGTTGAATATGCTCATCACACAGTAGTCAAACTGCGCACCCGCAGTTGGAGACACACGGCCCTGGCTGGTTTACTGCCACTGCCAACCCCAGCAAAATGATCCACGTTGTCCTTATTCCTCCCAGCCTTCCCATTATCTCCTCCACTGTTAGAGCGGCACCTGCAATGTTTACATGTGAACTCTTTCATTCGGGTCTTTGTCACTCTGGCCATGTTGGTTTTATGGACCTGTTCTTTTTCCTGGTGGGGGGCGAGGCAGATGGCGCACTCTTCCTGTCCCCTGCCTCTTCTGGTTCCCTGCCGGTTCCCTGGGCCGAAGTGACACAGGACCCTTCGGCACACTTGTTCCCAGCCCTGCTCCCAGCCTTCTCCCGCGGCTTCCCGATTAGGTTCCCACCCGATGTTCTGTTCATTAAGTTCATCGAACCTTCTAACGGACCTGTTCGCTTCATTGCACCTTTCAACCTCTTTCTGTCCCCCAGCGCTGGGTTCTCAGAAACGCCTTGTTGCCAACGCGACTCGAGCGAATCGACGCGGGTTGGGGGGCCCAGATCGCACACAAACGTGCTGCGTGCTGGGTGACAATAGTGCTGCGAGCTGCGCTGTGTGGTTTCATAGGTGGGAAACAGAAACAATCATGCATGCCTGTGTAAGGAGGGTACTTCATCCTACACCAGTTGCATCGGTTATTGACCCCTAAATTCACTGCTTGCTGTTGGAACCCCCTCATAATTGCTGGACATACAGTGCCTTTAAGAAAGTCTACACCCCCCTTGGTCTTTTTCATATTTGATTGTGTTACAGCATGGAATCATGATGCGTTTAATTGAGAATGTTTGCCACTCATCAACACCAAGTACTCTATCGTGTCAAAGTGAAAAAAATAAATCCAGACATTTTACTAAATTAATCAAAAATAAAAAACAGAAAATATTTGAATGCATAAGTATTCACCCCCTTGCTTTGACACACCTCAATTACCCCTGAAGTAATCAACTCTCTTCTCCAAGTCCCATAATTACTTGACTGGAGTCCACCTGTGTGCAGTTGAGGTGTTTCACATGATTTCAGAATAAATACACCTGGAAACACCACACCATGAAGACCAAGGAACATTCCAAGCAGTTAGGAGACGGCTCTTCACAAATACCAGTCAGGACAAGAATATAAGAACATTTCCAAGGCATTGAATATACCTCAAAGCACAGTGAAGTCTGTCATTAAAAAGGTGAGAAAATATGGAACAACTGTGAATCTGCCCGGAACTGGCAACAATAGCACGCACACTTCATAAACCTGGCTTGTACGGAAGGGTGGCAAGAAAAAAGCCTTTGTTGAGGAAAAAAAAACTCTTATCACGTCTCGACTGGATTTATCCCAAAGGTATGTGAGAGACTCAACAATTTAGAGGAAGAGTATATGGTCTGATGAGACCAAAATTAAACTTTATGTTGGGCGCAAACCTAACACAGCACATCACACTGGGAACACCATCCCTACAGTGAAGCATGGTGGTGGCAGCATCACGCTTTGGGGACGCTTCTCTGCGGCAGGGACTGGAAAACTCATTAAGACAGAAGGAGAAATGGATGGAGCTAGGTACCGAAGAATCCTGTAGGAAAACGTACTGCAATCCGCAAGAGCACTGGGACTGGGAAGATGATTCATCTTCCAACAGGACATTGACCTGAAACATACAGCAAACGCCACACTGGAGTGGCTTAAAACCAAAAAGGTTAATGTCCTGGAGTGGCCCAGCCAAAGCCCAGACCTCAACCCAATTGAGCATCTGTAGAATGACTCAAAAATTGCTTGATGGAGCTTGAGCAATTTAACCAAGGAGAATGGACAAAAAGTCCAGTGTCAAGATGTGCAACGCCGATAGAGACTCACAGCTGTGGGTGGGGTTACAGAGTACTTTGTGTTGATGAGTGGCAGACATTCTCAGTTATAAAGGAACAAGTAATAGGTTTATTCCATGCTAAAAAAAAGAAGAAAGAGAACACAACATTTCGGCTGTGGAGCCTTCTTCAGGTGTGATTCTCAGTTATAGTTCCATGCTATAACACAATAAAATGTCAAAAAGTCCAAGGGGGGGATGTAGACTTTCTATAGGCACTGTATACCCGATGTAATCCAACAGCACCGCCCTTCATCTAGGTGAGATTGATAGATAAAACTTGATTGATCCCGAAAGGAAATCGATGAGGGACTTCTTACATTACAGACCACGTTCTTTTAATGTGTAGGGCCTACGATAATTTAGACAGGGCTCCAAAATGGCTTATTTTATTCACATTAAACCGAAGCAAAATAGTTCAAGTCGCGTCATGCCGGTTGCTTCACTACAGTTTACCAAGAAAGACACGCGTGATAAAATACCACTCAGGTCTTACAAGGTGAAAGCAGTCGATTTTTCTGCAGTAAAAAATCAGCCCGGTAAATCTCACTCAAATCTAGCCACCGCATGCCAAATAAAACCTAAAACCTACTTTAAATATCATACATAAACTTCCGAGGAGTGATATTTGAAGTGCGAGATTGTGTGTTTTCTCCTTAAAACCATATGGAAACCCGTGAAGCAGAATAAAGAGGGACAATCGCACAAGCTCACCATTAACAGGACCTGAGCTGGGAGGGGGAAACTTCAGGAGACGACAGGGGCTTCTTATCTCCACAACCAGCTCACTTTAAGACCCGCTTAACCCCAGCGGGCAAACAAAAGTGCAAAAACACCTGACCGCTTCCCGATCTCTCTCTCAGAGCAACACCCCCCGCTCCCAGCTCACGTTCCGCGGTGCAAAACAAAAGATACAGGCCGCCAACGAGAGCCAGTACCCAGATCTCCAATATACACACACAACCTTCGCCTCGTCACCATGTCGGCAGCAGGGGTTAATCAAGAAAACCCGGTCAAAGGGGACGATCTGCCCCCCCACTCACCACGGCCACCCCCAAAATAAGAGACTTGCTTACACTATAGTAGCAAGAGCACTTCGAGATATTTCTCTTTTAGACAAGTAGTTTTACCATGGACCATGCCAGTTAAGTGAAGATATTCACCCGTTTTGTTACCATTCTCTGTTGTCAAAATGTATAAAGCTGTTTTGTATCGCCAGTGGTGCTGGGTTACCTGCGCCTCATAGCCTGAAGTGATTGCACAGCAGGATCATATATAGGGCTCTTCTGTGGGTTCAGTATTTATTAGGGTGCAGAACCGGCAAAAGCCCAAAACTACTGGCATAGGCTCCTAGGCCAGCCCTAGTTTTCCGTCATTATTAGGCAACCTTTAATAATTAGCAAGGGAATGATATGTTCATTACGTAATTAATCTTCACGTTGGTGGTGCAGGAGCAGCTTGATTGATGACTTGACGCTTCGGCCCATGAGCCAAGCCGGTCGGGTTGCTGTGGCTCACCCTTTGCGTTTGGCAGACGTTAAATGTCACGCCACCCCGCACTGTCGGCGGTCAAACGCCCTCAGCACAACTCATTCAGCACTGAAGCGCAATCGCGACACCTTGCACTGTTTCTCGCTGATTCTGCTCCTCCTCTGGGTGGTGCCATGTGTTCAAAGGCCCCGCCCTATCTCCCGGGGCAACGCATTGCAATTCGCCGCTGAAGGTCACTTGTCACTTCCGCTCACAGTTTTCCCGGTTGTACCTGTTATTTGATTGCAACAACGAAAACGTATACAATACTAACAAGAGTACAAATAACCTCCTCAGGGGTTACATACTGTAGTACAATAGCACGCTACAAAAACGTTACCGCCATTACGTCTGTTTTAAACCGTTTAAACATGGATCTCTCCCCAGACCATTTAATTTAATGTACATAATAACGTGCAGGTATAATAATTACGTCAATGACCAAGGATATGTTCATATTATTTTCAATGGAATTCCAGTTATTACAGTGTGTCTGAGATTGTATTGGTTCTTTGCGAGAAGCTAATTCTGATTTTGGACCTGCAATGTCAATGTTATTCCAGGCTTGTGTTTATTTTAAATTTTAATCATGTCCCTTTGGAGTTTGGGGCTTTAGCGTCTTTATAAAACTACAATTTGTGGACAAGGGCTGTTCACTTAGTGTCTTGTTTGGGCCACAAACTCTCCTCCACTTTCTTTAACACAGATGACAGATGAAACCGATTCCTCTTTTGTGGCCTTGTGTTACTCAAATGTTGTTCTTCGACCCCCAGCTGAAGAATTTATCCTCCAGTTTTTATTTGCTGTGCTTACACATGCTTACACATTGCTGCAGGGGACTGCTTGCTGATCACAAGCATGATGGTCAAACTCCAATTTCTTGATGAAATCCTGTGCCGAGGACACTCAATAGTCTCGTCTCCATTATCCAACAGACATGCCCACACAGCAGCAAAATGTGGTTTGAGGAAGGAGTTAGAACTTCGAGTCCTAGTCACACCAGTTCTGCTCTGTGTTTTGTTGGTTCCTCTGGAGTGGTTTCCACGTCCTCGTTTAATAATACGGGTATCCAAACAGGAAACGATAGGAGGGAAGAGTATCATAGCAAACCGGGCCCAGTGTTCCCTCTCTGCGTCATGTCAAAAGAGTTGTGCACCCTAGTGGACAAGCACGGTATTACAGGTCTCCAGTCCACTCAAAAATACAGAGATGCCCCAATTTTAATGGAGAGCGAACAACTTAGTGCCCAAAGCAAAGATGTACGGGTCATTTTAGAGACCAGTTAAGATAAAAGTTACTTTGGCAGCACTCACTTTTTTCTCATTTGGAGCACCTTCGCTAAATTCTCTGCGGAATTTTGCTGGATTAGCCTGACCACGTAGAAAAAACAAAAACCCTTCAGAGAATCGCGCACACAAGCCCAGGAGACCACCCGGAACAAGCGAGAAGAAGAAATTAAAGGCCAAATGCGAGGATGGTGCTTTTTTTTTAATCATTTACCTGCAGGCTAATTTAAATACCACGCATTTAAAAAAAAGTCTCGTACGCTCGTTAAACCAATATATTTGCATGTTGTGATCAAATAGTTATCACCTCTGATCCCGGCTCCGCGAAGTAAGTTACATCTCGGCGTGCAAGATCTCGCATAGCGGTTAAATACCAGCTCTGGGAGTCCAAACCCGGTTGCTGGTGGTTACGGCGCAAAGCTAACGAGCTCATCTGCCGCGAGGGAGCTGTCGTTAGGCAGTTTAATAAAGTGACCTTTGCGTAGGGGGATATCAGCCTAAATTAGCCGCGATCTGTCTTCGCCGGTACCTTCAAGAAAAAATGAAAGCACCCTGACTTTTTTTACCTTCTTTTTCTTCTTCGTCTTCGGCGCGCTACGTGAGTCAAATGAAATTGAAAGAATTAAGCCCCGGATTTCTTTGCAGTGCAGTTGTATGTAGTTTTTTTTTTCCTCCAAAATTAGTGGTGGAGTCTTTGCGCAGCAAGGACGCGTGACATCGCTAATGTATACAATTTAAGATCTGGGAGTCCAAACGTCGGCTACTTAGATTGGACTAATTGAGTGGCTTTAATTAAAACACAGATTTCCTGCCCGGTTCAAATAGAAACCTTGGTAATTAGTTTAAAAGCCATTCTCTTTCTGGTGCAGTGTATTCTTGCTGTTAGAAAGTTTATTAATAATACAATATTTGTATTGATTATTGATAAACTTTCACTTAATCAATAAATTGTCCGTAGTTAAGGACAGTAAGTAATATAGTAGAGGTATCTATTAAGACAAATTCAAAGGGGTTCACCAGGGTTTCGCATATAGAGGGTCTCTGTATCTTATCTCGACTCGACTCCTTAGACATTTTCCTATAACAGCTAAATTCCGATACTACATTCGTCTCATCGCTGTTCTAATTCCCCAATTCAGGGTCCCGGCTATTTTTGCTAGTATTCTTTAGTTCCATCTTTTACTGGTGACAGATACAGTACATTTCGTTTGCTCTCGTTTTTTTGCCGAGACTTGATCCCTGCATTTTACTCGTCAACTTGTTTTACTGGGATTATGTGAAATGCGTAGAGATGACCCTAAAACATCGCTGTCTAATATATTTTTAAAAAACGGCATGGAAAAAAAACGGAATGAATCGATCCACACTTCAGCCGAGATCAGGACAGTCTTAGACATCAGTTTCATGTTCACGTTTTATAACCGGCTGGCTTTAAGAAGGTGTCTACCGGCGTTCGTCGGTGCGCTAAGGAAAAAGAGAATGGTCTTCTGTTTCTTTTCCTCCCTATAAATTAATAACCGCGGCGCCGTGCTGATTAATCGGCCGCTAATTGCCCTGTAATCTGCGTAATTAGCCTGGCTATTCATCAGAGGATGACAGCGGCGGTTGGGTGGCGACTTCAGGACTCCATGCCGACTGGCTTAATGGAGACAGAGAGCGAGGGAGCGCGTCTGTCTGCTACGTCCAGCGGTCACGTTGCCCCGGTCTGTCTCAGTAGGTTCATCTGCCCTCTCTCTTCTCTTTCTGGCGTTGGCAACTCCTTCTGTATCTTTTTCAAAACCCAGCGCTCAAAGCCTGCAGGCGCAGACAGTTCCTCTAAGTAATACCTCCGTACGTCTGGCCGTCGCTAGCAGTTAATTAGCTCGGCTCATTCAGCCGTATCTTGAAATAAACCAGGGTTTCGGCTTGAAGAACATCGGCTGGGTAGGCTGCTCCACGCTACCACCACTCTTTGCGTAAAAAGTGCCCTCCAGCCCTCGGTTTTTAAGCCTTGTGGTCTGCACTCTGTCCGCTTTTACAAGTCTGAGTTGCAGCAATCACTTCAATTTTAAAGTGATCCGCTGCAGCAGGTTCTATTAAACCATTGATGCTGTATAAACGTTTACGGATTGATTAAGACATTTTTCTCCTGCTTCATCAGCACCTTCATTCCAGCTGGTTTGGCACCGGAACCGCAGCAGTGCTACTCCAGACAAGATGTGTGAATCTCCTGCTCCTCCTGGAAAGGAATCTTTCTGTATAGCCAGTATCAGAGTGTCTTTCAGAGGTGGGATGGGGAGGCAGAGCACCTAGAGAACATGCAGACTTCACACAGATGGACCTCCAGCCCAAAGTTGAACCCAGGACCCAAGAGCTGTTAGGCAGCTGCATTAAGTGCCGCACCCCCACGCTGGCCAATTAAGCAATTCATGTTCAATTTTTAAAAAATTCTGAATCATCCATCCACCCATCCATTGTCAAACAGCATCATCCAATTCATTGTCGGGGGGGCTGGAGTCCATCCCAGCTAGGAGAGGTACACCCTGGACAGGACGCCCTGCAAACCCATCACAGGATCTAAGGACCAGCTCTTGTAACAGTCCTCATGGGATCAAAGCCCTCTCCTGGAAGAGAATGGCTGGACGACACCAAGCTTACAACTTCTGCTTCAGCCAGAGGAATTCAGGGTTTTCAAGTGCGCTTCTCTGGAGTCTGGGATTGGGCTTTTCCGGTCGCGAGTCCACTACCCGCTCCCCGAGAAAGGACGTCCAGCTGCAGGAATCAGACCTCTGCTCCACACGGAAGCATCGCGGATTCCGGATCCTCGAGCGAGCCTTGTGGACGAAACGCAAAGTCCCCATCGCTGGGGCTCCCTGCGTGGCATGGGACACGAGGCTGGAGTCTGGGAAGTCTGAAGACGACAGCGCCCAGAGCAATCTGACAGGCCTGCCCCCCACCCCCGAGAGGGCCTTCCCCGTGCACACCCCGTTATTCAATTTGCAATGGACTGATTCCTGTTTCCCAGCAACTGCAGTCTGATAAAAGCAGGTTTGGGAGGAGGGTGGGGTGGGGGGTGTTACTCACAGCTAAAACAGTCTAAAGTCATGGCAGACACAATTTGTGACTTCTGTTTTTTTCTTTGCAGTTTCCTCAATTCTTTTTCCCTTGCAAACGTCTTTGCAAAGGTTTGGAATCGGCTGCTGGCGATCGGCCAGCAGCCGATTCCAAACCTTTGAGAAGACGTTTGCAAACCGATCGCTCAGCTCCCCGATATCTCGTCTCGGGCTGACGTTGGAAGGAATCTGAGCGTCTGCTTGTGTCATCATGGACGTGCAATCAGGGGTATTTTGCCTCCTCTTCCCCTTAAGCAGAGGTGCCACCCGCAGTGGCCAGGCACCTGAATGGGGGGCGACACCAGCTGCTGTGACACCTGCTCTGTGGCAGCCTGGGAGGAATCTGTTGGTCACTGACCTTGGCAATGACTCCTGCCACTACTAGCAAGGGAGCCGGTCCACGCTCCCGCGAAGCCTAGTTCGGGACCCTGTGCAGACGGTCTAATCCGGAAGTGACTGGAATAAGACTTCAAGGGAAACACAGCAGGAGCAGGACGGGATGACAGACGGGGGGGCGCGACGGCTGGGATGTGGTGCTCAGGGGGGGCGTGGCGCAGTCCTGAGGTAGTCCAAAAGGGGAAACCGGGGCGCGGTCCAGGGTCCAGGGGCCGGGAGATCCATTCGAGACAGACAAGATTAAAACCGGAACGGGATCCGGAACAGGGACAGGGACAGGGAACCAGGAGGACAAAAACAGTAACGAGGCCAGGCGCCCCAGGCTCAGCAGGGCAGGACGCCATGACGAAGCCGAAGCCGTCGGGTCTCTCCTGGATAGGTCGCTGCAGAGAGACGCGGAAGTCCCGGGTTCGAGCCACCTATACTTTGGGCCGACCAGATGCGGCAAGGGCGCCCGCCTGAGCCCCCGTTGCGTTACAATACAAAAGGGCGGGAGCGCCGTTAAGAGGAGAGATTACGATCGTGACAGCTACCCAGAATCCTGCGGGTGTGCTGTGATGTCAGTGGGGAGAGGGCATTGCTCCTCAAATCGGCCTGAGCTCTCCTGTACGGCACCGTGGAGCTGCGGGCACCAAGTCAAACGCGTGAATGATGCTGGCTGGGCAGTTCAGAAGAGCTCACCTGCCTGTGCCCTGTTCTCCCAATTCAGTACAGGGGATGCTGCTGTGAGACAACAATTAAAGAACCGATCGTCAATTCCAAATCGGGCTGGTTTAATGTAAATTTGAGCTTCTAGCACAACTTGTGTAGCTACTCTTGCAAGAAACACCATGGTAGGCCGGTCTTGGTGGACCAGTTCCTAGTCTTTTGGGGGCATTTGATTCAGTAGAAAGATCTCCCTAGTCTTCATATTGAGCTAACACATACACACAGTAAATACATATCTTCAAGTGCCTCTCTCGTTTTCTATAAAAACAATGTTATTTAATTTTCCTGCCAAGAGAGTCACGCTGTAAAAAGATGCTAATGAAACGACCCAGAAGGAACGCATCAGTAAAAAGATGTTCCGTTAGAAAATACAGTGGGGTACAAATGAGGGGGACGAGATGCTCCTTTTTTTAGGTTTCTCTTCTCAGTTTCTTAGCCCAGAACAGAGGGGGAGGCAGAGAGAGTTAGTCGTCAGCAGTGCGGTAACGAAGAGGAGGATGCCCACTGATCCTCAGTGCCACTGACTGGGACGTGGGTGGCGGCAGGGAGACGAGGTGGGCAGACAGATCCTGCAGGTGCAGTAGGAAGCCTGGCAGATCAGGACCTCGAACCCCTGACCCTGAAAAAACACAAGACAAGCGCAACGTAACGAGGCTGGGGTCAAGAAAACGCCGTCCGTGCCAGCCGTGAGAAAGGAGCGTGGTCTGTCTCTTTCTCAGTTTTGTGCTGCAGACAGGAGAGCGCGCGGAGGCTCCCAGCCCCCCTGCTGATGTTCGCTCGCCTCCTCTCCCTCCCACGCGCTCTCTCACCCACGTGCGCCGCAACAGGCGCACAGAGGCGGCTCCAACGCGAAACCCACAAGGAGCACGCCGCGGCCTCTAACGAAGTTACAAATCGGCCTGCGCTACTGCGCCGCCAGCTTGGTCGTGCTGATTATGACAAATGTCCGTAAGAGCAGTTTGAAAGGATGGGAAAAAAATCCCTGGCTGCTGCAGTTAATGGAGGCTACATGCGATGCACATGTGCACATCAAGACTGATAACTGTGTCTTAAAGGACAAAGGACTGTTGTTGGAGTTTTTAAAAATATATGACAATCTGTAATGAATTTGTCTGTTCCCGTTGCTCACACAGTTCTGGATCTGGGCTAGGCAGAGACCGCCTGAGCCGAGTTTTCACCCTCTCTTCCCAGGCTGCTCCAGCTGAGCCTCCTGTCGCGGATGAGAAGAGCTTCCTGTAGCTGTATGAAAGGAGACTAGCAGACGCCTGCGCTCCTTCAGTCCTGTATGTCGAGTGAGGATGCAGAGCGAACCCAGCTTTCTGTGCTTGCAGGCATGAAAACTATGATAACAGGTGCCCAATGTGACTGTATAAGAAACACCTGCAGCCGGCTCCCCCGCAGAGTCAGACTAAACAGCTCCACACCTTGCTTACACAAGGACAGCCTGGCCAGAAAAAACTCACTTCAGTCTTTCACCCAGAGTGAAGTGCAAAGGGAGTTGTCACTAGTGCTTCCTCCAAACACCATTGACATTTATGAATCTGTAGTCAAAACCATTTATTCCCTGGAAAAAGCACCTAAATATAAGCATTTTACTGCATATAGAACATTTGTGGTGATGTCAAGCAAATATGTTTATATAAAATGAAGGAGAATGGACAAAAAGTCCAGTGTCAAGATGTGCAACGCCGATAGAGACTCACAGCTGTGGGTGGGGTTACAGAGTACTTTGTGTTGATGAGTGGCAGACATTCTCAGTTATAAAGGAACAAGTAAAGGTTTATTCCATGCTGAAAAGAGAAGAAAAGAAACACAACGTTTCCGCTGTGGAGCCTTCTTCGGGTGTGTTTATGTATTATACTGGATGAATTTACTGTATTTATATATATCAAGCTCCTGTGCTTCATATTTCCACTCCTTTATAGCTCTAACCCTCTTTCCTGAAGAGAGCTCAACCTCTCATATTTATTCTGTCGACTTTTCAGCGTGGAATTAACCTCTTCTTGCTCCTTTGCAGCCAACGAACATTGACACAGCTCCCCACTCGGACCTCGAACCTCAAACACGGGTATATAACCTGTGAAAGGAGAATCTGTAGCTCCTTCTTGAGGGCCTTAACTGAGCATGCTACTTGTGTGCCTGTGTGTCTGTGTTAGCCATCAACCACTGCCTGGTAACCCCTGAGTCTATCCAGAGCGACACATTAGCCAGGTCTGCTGTTGCCTGCAGCATTTCACCAGAGGTGTCTCTTGTAAGGTCACTTGCATCTGACTTTATTTTTCCTACGGCACAGCACACCGAGGAACTGGTCTGGTCTGCTACTACTTTGCAGTACTAAAAAATTATTAGGATTGGCACATAATGGGCTGTTGATGACCGTTCCCTCTGCAATGCATGAAATGGTTAGTTCCTATGGAACATGCATATATGTGGTTGGGCATTATGTAATAATCAGACTAATTAAAAGTGTTTGAATTACTAGAGTAAGTAACTTGGAGAGAACTATCATCTTATGTGGTGTCCCCTATGTCCTTCTGTTTTAAGATTTGCTCTCCCTTCCAACAGTATGGTACTCAAAGCCAGATCCCACACATGCTGCTGATCCAGGAAAGAATGAAAACATCGCCCTCTTGTGTTAGTAGTGAGTATGGCACGTCAACTCCATGAATTCATGTACTGTGTTTTTGTCCTCGGTTTTAATTATTTACCTGTGACCGGAAATAGCTAATAAGTGCAATTTCCTTCCCATCTAGATTATAGATGGTTGTCCTCTATTATCGTTTGTTCACGGGTTTTAACATTTTTGTTAAAAAGTGTAATTCTTGGGAGCTTTTCCAGTATTCATTTTCTGATATGTGGTGCGGTTTCTTACAATGAAACAAGGTAACTGCTGTTTATATGTGCGTTTTAAGATTTTTTGTGCGTGTTTGACGTGCTATATATGTTGGGTTTTTTTTTTTACCAGAAAATGATGTTGCTCAAACCAGGGCCGGATTTTGGTGTTCGTAGGCCCTGCGCACTTTCACTCCGAAATGTGCAAAAAGAGGGCTAAACGCCAGTTGAATCACGCTAAACCGCGCGATTGATGGAGCGAGTCGAGCGAACATCGCTTCGATACTTCTAATTTCTAGAACAGCCGCTTGATAGCGTGTGATTATTGATTTGGAGCACCTAGAGTCGATAGCAAGCATGTTGTTTCAGCTCGTTTTTCGTTAGTCGCTAGTGTCTCCCTCCTTCGTAGGCCCTAGACACTGTGACTACAGTGGCTCAGACTGGCTTCTGTTAGGCTGTTTTTGTGTCCTCTGATATTCTCACAGCGATTGTTAAAACGTGACTTGAAAGGAGTTTCTTTTACAGTTCAGTAAGTACGGCCCCTTCTATTTGGGTGTTTGAAATGCAGCACTGACGCGTTTCGTTAGCATTAACGTTGCAGAATCCGAGACTTTAGTTCATTATCGCCGCTCGACAATGGAGCTGTCGCACGTTGTGTTTGTATGTGAGAGAGGGGGACAGAGACTCGTTCTCGGCCAATTACAGGCGCTGACAAACTCCGGCTCTGGTTCGGCGTGGTTTTCTCTCGCTGATTCGTGACAGGTGCCGTTTCAACTCCCACACTTAAAACATTGCAATTTGTGTAGGCTTCCTCCTACGGTCTGTGATTGTAGGTACAAAGTAAAATGGTACTTTATTTAAAGTATCACAAATAACATTCAAATTAACATTCAGTTAAGCTAGCGTTTCGTAACATACTTGTAACACATTTGCAACATGTTTTGTTCAATGTGTAATCAATTAAGAAATTTAGCTTTTTAGAACGCTACCTACAGGTCATTGGAGGGGGAACTCTAAGCATATTTAGAAACAATGAAATGTTACATTCATCGTAAATAATTATCGTTAAAAATACACCATGCAAATGATGGGTTGTTTTTCTATATAGTAGTAGTTTATTTGATTTTCCCAAAAAATGAAAAATCACAATCTCTCCAGTGGTGCCTCGCGCCAATGCGGGAGATCTGTCTCCCGTGTGAGTGGGTGCGTGACGGAGTGAAAATATACGCTACAGGTAACGGGCCAATCTTTTTTTAAAGACGGTAGATTACTCATTGCTCGCTCTTTTAAGGATACCTGCTGTTAATATTTCTTGTGTTCATAATTTGTCGCATTTATAGTGGTCTGTCTATTAATATCTATCCAATCCGTAAACTTGAAGAGTGCCGATATCATGAAACTCTGTTCAATAAGGTGCAAAAACATAAGAAAGATTACAAGCTAGAGTAGGTGGGTGGGTCGTGGTGCTTATAGTCTCTATGCATAGCAATGTTCAAAGCTAAAATGTAAAATAAATACAGTTAAAATGTTTCTAGTTACTACTGTGGTGATTATGTCGGCTCTTTAATACGCTTGTTATAATTATATCCTTCTGTCAGGCTATACGGTGTTGACTGGGTGCTGATTCATCGCCTACGTGTCGCATTTGGACTTTTTTTTTTCTACGCGTCTCCATTTTCTTGAGCCAAGTCAGGTTCATGCTAAGCAGCGCACATTGGCGACAACGCTGTAGAAGAGCGGTATGGCGTGGGGAGGTCCCCCGGCGGACTCTATCTGGTGAAAAACGATTTTTATGAGTCTTCCGACAGGTGGCGCTCTGGGCCTACGTGAGGAAAGACAAAGAATGAGATTTGGGGGCGCAGTGAGACGGCTCCCCCGGGAAGCGCTACGGCTGTACCATCCCATGTGAGAAACTAGAATTTCAAGATCTTCCGAAGTTCCTGGTTTGGACACGCAGCAGAGCCATTAGGTAAAGGAGGGGGCCGATCAGATCATTGTCCTGTTAGTTGCAGAGAGCAAAATCCTCAGTACTGGTCTCGCCTAAAAGAGACGAAACGTTTTCCCCACCACCTGGGCCACGTGTGATCTGTCTCAAATAGAAGCCAAAAGAGTAGCATCTCCGATCCCATTAGATTTCCTACCTTACAGCTTACTCCCTTGATCCTGGTCCTGGGAAAACCCGCCCGAGTTGGCTGTCATTGCAGCTGAGCTCTAAACGTCACTAACTCCTTAACTGCACCCACAGGATCCTCAGTTAGGACCACGGCAAGCTGATTGTTCTGTTCAAAGGTCACACCCTGCGTGTTTAGAAACTGAAAACGACAGACTTCAAATGAATGTGTGTCCGCATGGCCAGGATTGAGAAACCCCTTGATTTAGAGGACATCAATTTATATCTTCGTTACTCCCAGAACTGTACACATTTTGCTTGAACCCGACTGGATAAAGTGCAATTCTGCAACATATATTTACAGAATATATTGTAACGCATACGGCCGACATTAGAGGTTGTACGAGCCGGCTTACCAGCGCGGTGACGTCACCGCCCTTCCCTGTGGCGGGCGATCTCCCTTTAGGTCAACAGTCTGGGTCCCTGTTGAGTGACGCCGGAGGCCCGGGTTCGAGTCCCCAGCGGTGGGGGGCCGACCTGAGGCGGCAGCGGCGAGGGCGCATACCCACGTGACCCCGAAAACGCTACAATATGATGATATAAAGTATGTGACATGATGTCAATGTACACCTGTTTAAGTTGCTCTTTGTATAATAGGTTTGTTTAGGGTTAGGCTTTAAACAAATAAATTGTAGATCTGTACAACTATATCGTCCTTATCCAGGATAATTGTTGACTTCTTTTAAATGTTAAAAAGAAAGTAATTTATATATTAAAAATAATATATTTTAAAAATCATGTTCTTCTCTCAGCGCTATGACCCTATGTTTTGATGTCTTCATGCTCCAGAAATAGAATTTCGTCGTGCCCCAGCGGGCACGCCATCAAGGGCTCATAAACATTACCTCAACACACCCAGCTAGTAAGGAAACCCATTGCTGCTTCAGGTTTCCGTGAATAAAAAACTTCTCCTGCCCTCAAGAAGTCTGGTAACTGTGCAAAAACAGTGCGTTTTTAGGTTAGGCAATGTAATGATTAATTTTTAAAGTATACTCCTTAATAAAGTTTCATAATAATAATGGAAGCGGATGCAAAGTTAATTATGTGATAGGTTTAATTTTTCAACTCGGTTGCTATGGCGACGGCCGCGCACTGGCTTTCAGCTCTGGGGCGCGTGTACGTGAAGGGGCGTGGAATAGAGGCGTATCCGCCGAGGGGGAGGGGCCTCGTCCTGACGTCATGTATTGTGAGCTGTCAATTCCAAAACGAGACGCGTAGAACAAGAAAAAGTTGAAGCTGAGTGAGGAAAACTTTTGGAACCCAGTTTTCATCTCAAGACCGCGAGGGGGGGGGAAACGGAGAGGCAAAACTGCAAAGCCTCCTGCCTTTTAGATCCGGATGCGGGATACAATATCCGTCGCCCGGAGCCGATATATGTCCTCGGACCTCGGGAGCATAAAGCAAAGCTAGTTCACAGAAACGGAGAAAGGGAGCGCGGGAGTCAGCCGTCCGTGCACTCAGACTTATGCGACGTCTATCAGGTATCTGTGGTTTTTAAAACGAAGCTATTTTTTTTCAAGTGCTTATTTCAGAGCTTTCCTTGGCTTGTCCGTTTGAGCGCCGATTTGCAAATCTGACGTGGCGGTGTTTTGATGTTGTCTTCTTGTGCAACTTGTCCCTTGCAAAGTGTGTGCACGCGTACCTTTCCTCACTCACTGGCTCCTGCGTCCCGGGGACGGCGTGCAGTAGGGGCGCGAGCAGCCCGGGCACGCACTGGAGTTGCGGGAAGCGCGCGCCAGCGGAGCCGGGGGGGGCAGGAGAAACCTCGCACTTCACCCCTTCTGTAACCCCCATTCCCCTTTCGCTCGGCTGTGCTGTCCCGGCCCGATGCTTCCTCCCCGTCCTTCCGCCCTCCTCAGGAATCTCTGCCCGAAACCGCGGAGGCGATGCCATGTCGTGTCGATTAAACAAGCCCCGGTGGGCTTATTAAAATCCTTGCGTGCGACTTTTGACACGAAAAAAAACAAAGATCGGCGAAATCTTTTCCTTTAAGAAGAATCCCAGAAGGACTCATTCCAGATCTGTAACTGTGGCTTTGTACTGCGCTGTCATGCCTCGTAATTCCGGGCAAAGCTAACTTTTAAGTATTCACTGTACGATACCCAGGGGCTGCGGGGAGGAATATTAATTAGAAGCGGGCAAGCTGCTTTGTGGGAATCTGCAAAGGGAAAAGAATGCGCTTTGTTTATAGAGGATGCTCCTGACAGAAGGTTTGCACATGTTATTCAGAGCGAGCTGCGGGAAAGAAAGTTTTTTTTACTATATAGCTAATAAGAAAATGCGTTGTATTTGGATGAAAAAATTACAGTTAACGACCGTGGCGACGTGTTTTTAAAACGCATTGCGACTCACCGCTTCGTGTCTTCTCCGAAAGGACGAAATCCGTTACACTGGTTACCTAAATGTCCCTGTACTATAGGAGCGACCCAGACCACCCTAAACCAGCCTTACTGTAAAAAAAAATATGGATTACTTCAACGGCCCTGATTCTCAAATCCGTCAGTTTAGTCTCAGTGAATACTTCTTAACACGATCGTTTCCATTTTTCATGTATATTTTTTGTCAGAACGGCGAAATTAATGCCCGTTCGCACCCAGGTGCTGTCACCTAACTCACTAGACTGCAAAGCGCAGAAAAGCCGTTAGCAGATGATTTAACACAAGGGGGTGGTGTCTTTGCCTTAGAAATCAGGTGCGATGTAGTGAAGACGTTACAGACGACGGTTAAATAAACACATGAGACAGTTATAGACAGGTTAGAATTTGTGAACATTACACATTCTATACGTGATCCGCTTCTCTTCCTCGCGTACAGCGACCCCCGGGGTCACTCCTCACTCTGCCTGGGGGTCCCAGCCACCTCGTCCTCTGGCCAGGAGGTCAGCCCTCAGCCAAGCGGGTTAAACCAAATGTGGACTAAAACACGACATCATCTTTTCAGTCCGCTGAGTTCTTGGGTGGTGTTATGCCTAGTGAGATGTGTAATGCCACGCGTTAAAGAAACCGTGCGTTCAGTGCACCGCGGGATCGGAGGGCAGGTACTCTGAACAAGCAGCGAAGATCTGCTTCTCAGAATATCAGCTTGCACCTCTGCAACCTGCGATTGATTTTCCACCATGCTTTTTTCTAGGTAACTTAAAAAAGGGAAATATCAGTGTATGAAGTGTCTTCAAGCGAGGCTCGTGTAGCAGTTTTAAATAGTCTGGTGCCTTCGGCGCGCTCGCTGGGAAAGCCCGACCTGCCCGCAGTGTCCTGACGTCAAGGAGACACGCTGGCAGGTAGGCTATGTGGATGGAGGAGTTGCCCCCGCTGTGAGGAAGAGTGGGGGGCTTTTATCTTCAGATGGGATGTGGTGGGTAGCAGCGTGGGTCAGAGGTCAGGGTTCCGAGCCCGTCACTGGCAGGGTGTGGGTTCAAATCCCCTGTGAGACCCTGCTTGAGCAAGGGACGTGTCCCAGATGGTCCTAGCAAACTATAGGAATCGCAGAACCCATCAGCAGGTCAGAGGTCAGAGTATAGACAGCCCAGGTTAAGAGTGGGAAACTTCTCCTGAATGACTTGTCTTGTAAAGGGGTATGTCTCTCCCCCTGGCATTGAAGGAATGTTCGGCAGGCAGACAAGGGAGGGCTGTCCCGTCCTGGTCCTATGTCTGTCTCTTTAAAGCAGAGCAATATCCTCTGAACTCAGGCAATTCCAGGCTGGTCTTGAGGACTGTACAGTGCTTAAATGAGCCAGTATTGGAAGAATCCTTCATCGAACCTGCACCTTTGCTTGGTTAGAGCCTTCATGAGCCCTGCCTTTTGCACTCAAAGGTTAGAGATTAGAAGATACTTACAAAACCAGAATGGTTAAAAAAGGCCACCCCCTACATGTTCCAAAACAAGTAGAGCTCAGATGTAGCCTATTATTATGTCTGTGTAGGGTTCAGTTATTTCATTGAGTGGGATCCTGCGAGAAATGGCTGAATGACAGTCATGAGTCACGTAACTGAACCTCCTGGGTGTGGGAGGTTTGTTCTGGACCTGATCTCTGGCGGGGTTAGCGACGCTAGGCAGGAAATGGATCTTTGCGATTAAAAGATGGCATGAAAGCTAATCCGGTTTGCCGTCTGCCCCTTCCTGGGTCTGTGGAAGTTCCCAGTGTCTCAGGTCTCAGACGGGCAGCTGTGGTATCTGCTGAGCAGAAACCCTAGCTGGAGTAGCCTGCAGGTCGCACTGGGTCATTGACCGTCCCGGGAGTTCAGTGATCCAGGGATCACTGTCCCAGGGGCTGCGGGTGCCTGGGACTGGAGCAGGGCTCTCTTCCCTTTATCCCAAACCCCTTCCAGTCCCTTGGCTGAACTCTTTAAGAATGATTTGGGTGGGTTTTTTTTGCATTTTCACATGACACAAATGCCCCTCAACTAACTTAACCTGAGAGAGCCAGGCTAAAGACTAAAAATCGGATTGGATCCGTGAGGAGGGGGGGGGGAGGACAGGCAGAATTTGTCAAATACAGTCTGCGCCGGTTGATGTGATCCAGCTCAGAATCAGTCTTTTACTTATGTTTCATTTTGAGTGCAAAATGGCAAAAGGCGATAGTTTGTACAAGCCGTTAGACCAACAGCCCCGTTGCTAACATATCATTTGGATTTTAGCCATTCACCATGCCAGAAACTGGTTTGGTCAGATTAAAAATGCTGCCACTTTATATGGAACCTCCACATTCCTTCCTCTCTCTAATCTTGATCACTGTGTTTGAATCCAGAATCCAGAATCCGCATCACGGGTTGCTATGTCAATATTGTGCAAGGCACTAGTAAGGCCTCATTTACAATATTGTGAGTGGTTTTGGTCTACGAGTTGTAGAAAAGATATTGCTGCTCTGCCATCAATCCAGAGAAGAGCAAGCAGATACATTCTGAAGCTTAAGGGAATGGCAGTTCAAAGGAACCTTTTTAGTCTTGGGCAGCAAAGATAATGTGGGGGACCTAATAAGTTTCACAGTCCTCAAGGGCATTGACAACGAAATGTGTATCAAAGGACCAAGAAACCAAGAACAAGAGCAACCTGTTTACTCAAAGAGTGGTGGGAGCCTGGAACAAGCTCCCCAGCCATGTTATTGAGGATTGCCTGTTCTAATGTTACATGATAGCAGTTACATGAAAAGGATCACATTTAAAAAAGTATTCTCATGTGCATTCAGAAATTGTTCTGCACAGTGCAATATCTGGTTTATATTATGTACCCGTATTTCTGTTTGTTTGTGTCACATTCTCTTTCTCTCCCCCTGCCCATCATCCTCTCACTCTCTTTCTGTCGCCTCTTCTGTCTCGCTCACTCCTCTTCCCCCTCTCTGTCCCCCCAGGGAGCGATGGAGATGGCAGAGTTGACCGTGGTGGCCAGCAGCTTCACAGCCTTCCAGCTCCTGTTCAAGGTGGCCAGCCCCCGCCTGTCGGGGGCGCTGTGCCCGGGGTATCGACATGTGCCAGCTCACAGACACACCGAGTGGAACTCCAGGTACAGAAGGAGGGAGGTGGAGCCCCATGTGGTTATCGAGCCTCTGCTTTGTACGTAACCAGGTGGCAGGGGTCAGGGGTCAGGGGTCAGGGGTCAGGCGTCAGAACTCCTGGCTGAAGGATCCTGGGGGAGGCATGCTGTTGATATACCAGGAGCAAGGTGCTCTATCTTAATTACTCCAGTGAAGCCAGACTCTGAGGCTCTGTACTGTATTTGTAGGTACCAAAACATATTTATGACCCCTATGTAATAATAAAACATGACTCTGGTTCTGTCACTGCACAGTTTATCAGGCAGAGAAATGTGAAATTCCTCCTTCAAGACGAGAGTGGGATTTAGTCAGGACACAAAGGTTTAAACCCCCCACTCTTAGGAACAGGAACATTATCCAGGTGGATGCTGCACATTGGTGGTGGTGGAGGGGAGTCCGCATTACCTGTAAAGCGCTTTGAGTGGAGTGTCCAGAAAAAAACGCTATATTAGTGTAAGCAATTATTATTATTATTATTATTATTATTATTATTATTATTATTTCTCTTGGAAATAGTGCCATGGGATCTTTAATGACCACGCAGGCAGGTCCTCAGTTTAAGATCTCGTCTGGAAGTCTGGCTCCACCTCCAGCTCCTTCACTCGCCACACTACAGCCTTAATTTAGAAATTCTGATCGAGAGGAGAGAGAGCGCCTCCTACTGGTCCACCGACACAAAAAGCTCAAAGCCCACTTTGCAGTTGTCTGCTCTTTTGTGCCCTATATTTCGGGATCCTTCCCATTGTGTCTATCTGCACCTGTGCAAACGCGACTGGTTTTCCAGCTTGTCCTGGCTTGGGAACGCCAGTCTAACTGGAAAGGGCTGGAATTCCCTGTGCTACAAGACACATTTTTTCCATGATTTTGTTATAGTGTTCGAGCTCGAGTCACGCACAAATGGAATTTGCATACTGATGGCCAGGTGCAGTTAGTGTCCCAGCATGATCGCCTTGCGGCAAGGACAATGTTACACCGGCCTGTGGTATGAGTGCTGACAAAAACATTGCACACCTCCTACAGTGCTTCAAGCTTGAACAGTTTTTAATGTACCACTTTTTCTAATCAATCATTTTATGGAGGAGTTTGTTCTATTTAAGTGCTTTACTGTCATGTTCATTCATTACTGCCTGGAAATCCTGTGTTATCCCGCACAAACCTCTGTTGCTGTCCGTTACTGACATTGTCAGCAAGACCAGCCACTGATCAAAAGAGTTTCCTCCTGAAGTTTATTGATGTAGGAGAGAGAAGGTGTTGTGTAACCACAGGCAAATCTCTCCTGTGCGTGTAAACCACAGGAATTCTGTATGCTTCCTCTCCTTCGCCATAGAGGACACAAAAGGTAATTTTTTGCTCCGAAGATGCTCAGCTCAGCTCTCCAGCAGCATTTCGTCGTTTTGAAGCCAAGCATCTAGCATCGTCTCTTAGTCTGTTGTGTTTCCAGTCAGCCCGAGATCACTTCGAGCACAGGCGGATCTCTGTGTCTCAGATGTCGCGTCTGAGCCCGCTGGCGACTAGATTCTGGGTTTTCCGGGCACATCATTGACCTGGCACTGCCAGGGGTAGAGTTGGGGTTAGCTGGTCAGGGCTCTCTCGGTTCTTATCAGCTACCGCTGCGACTTCCTAGGCTTTGATGCCAGTGAGGAAAGGGCCAGGTGCCAGCCAGTGTTCGCCCTCCTGTAAGGTGCACTAGGAGACGGCAGTGTGTTTGGGGAGGCGGATGTGGTTCAGCTGGCGAGCAGGACGGAGAAGCGTGTCTGCCTTTTCTAAAACACCGCTAGACCCCCTGGCGCCTAACAGGAAGGTTAAATTGACTGGCAACTGGCATGTCCCTCACCAGCATCAACACCCAGGAAGGCGCTTGAAGTGGGTATAAAATGAAAAATCCAAAAGAAGCGGTTAGTTTTTCTTCTGGTTGTCCTGGTTCCATCTTGGCTCGGCTCGGCCCGGCCCAGCCTGTGCGGCGTGCTCTTCTCGGGCCGTCCTGCTGCAGGACTGGCGGTGGCGCCTTCCCCAATAAAGCTGCGGGCACACAGGCGCCTGGCCGGCCTTGGGGCGCTGACATTGTAAGGCCAGCTCTTACCAGCTCTACCCCCTGCCCAGTGGCTCTTAACAAACCACTGATACTGGCCCAGGGCTACAACCAGTGCTGGTTCCGTGGCTCTGAAAGGGCACCTTTAATGAGGCCACCAGAAAATCCACAAGCCCCTTCTCATTTCTGTTTTCTCATGGCTAAAACAAATCCCTTTCCACCTTTACCCTGATGTGGCGGATCCTGACAGGATCCTCGTAGTTCTTCTCTCTCATACACAAGGGCTTCTCAGGCAAACATTACTAATGGTGTTTGCTTAGGCTTCTATCCGGTTGTGTTCTGATAAGAGCCAGAGCTCTCGGGCTGGGCTCTTCTCTTAAAACAGATAGAGAGTCCAGAGGTCTCGTAGGGCCAGATATCATGGGCGGGAAGACGTGATGCAGGGAGTTCAGAGATCGCTCTGTCAGCCACACAGATTAAATGTTTTTGGCATCTTGAAAGGAGCAGCATGGGTTGGGGGGGGGGGGCATGTGGGATACAGCAGCAGCCTCACAGTTTTTGGTTTCCTGGGTTCAATTCCCAACAGGGGTTCCTTCTGTGTGGAGTTTGCATGTTCTCTCAGGGTCTCTGTGAATTTTCCCCAGGTGTTCTGGTTTCCTCCCAAAGACAGGCAGGCCAGGTGAACCGGTGTCTCTAAATCATGCATAGACATGTGCCTGACAATGGGCTGGCTTCCCCTCCAGGGTCTTGGGACCCCTGTCCCACCTGCCCTGTTCACCCTGGGCAGACTACAAGTTTCTGCATCCCTTGCCAGGAGCAATCGCCTTTTGGCTTAGGGTTTTGGAGAATGTGACCTCAGTCATACTGGAATTACCCTGGGAGATGTTATTCAAATGCTATGCTACACACGGGTTAAAGCAGATAAATCTCTTTAGTCTCGAAGAAAGATATACAGATTTCTAGAGAGTGGGATCTTTTAAAATATTTCAAGGAGGGAGCTGTGTCAGTATGTGTAGGCTGCAAAGGAACAAGCAAAGGTTAATTCCATGCTGAAAAGAGAAGAAAAGTAGCACAAATTTCTCCACAGCTGGAAACATTGTGTTTCTTTTTTTCTCTTTTAAGCATGAAATAAATCTCTTCTTGTTCCTATTTTAAATTATAGCCAATTTCAATGCATTGAGCTGTTCATGTGTATGTGTGTGTTTTTAGGCTGGTGTCCACAGTCCACGCGCTGATTGTGGGCTTCTTCTGCCTGTACATCCTGTGGTTTGATGATGCTGTCAATGAAGACCCTGTCTGGTAAGAGAGACCCCCTCTCCTGCTTCCCCCTGTGTTTAAGCCTTCCCATCAATTGGCAAGGAGACAGTGAGTTGAGATCTTACCTCTCACCCTCCTTGTAAGAAAACATTGAGATGTTTTCAAGCTGTGGGAATCCGGGTGTGTGTGTAAGGAACGGTTTGGGTGGAAAATGCATAGACAGGACCATCTCACCTGATGGAATAATACTTTTTATCGGAAACAGCATTTCCACGCCTGAAGGAGTCGGCCGGTCGGCGGAGCTGCTGAACGAGGTGTCTGTTCAGGAGATGGGAAAACGGCACGTCCTCTTTAGTCTCTTCTCTGCACAGGCAGCCAGAGGTCTCTGAACGATCTTGTAAACTTTCCTTTAAACAGCGTCTGGTGTTTGGATTCAGCCGGATGGGGAAATCGGTCAAGCCAGGGGTCGTTAGCACTTCCTCCTGTTTTTTTTGGGGAGGCTTTTAGCTTGACGTCAGATGCATCATTAGGGCTGAATTGAGGGAGGGGAGCAGGGCATACGTACCGCTTGGAAAATTGGAATAATCAAAACGCAAACTATTTTCTACAGTTCATGTGTATTTTTTCACCTCCAGGAAAAATCTCTAGATTTTTTAAGGCAAATCAGAAAGTTTCACTGCACTGTAATGAATCACTTCTTGTTGGTATTTGCCTTGGGAGCAGATTCTCACAAGGTGAGGGCCAGCACAGCCAGAGCTGGAACATGGTTCCCTGTCAGCGACCACTTGTTGTTGTTGCAGAATGTGAGAACTAAGTCCTCATTTAGAAATGTGAAAATAGCTATCTGTGAGGGTATCTGGGATCAGGGAATTTTATGCCTTGATCCAGCTGGGATTTTAGATTTTGGCACCTCATGTGATGAAAGGAGCAGGGCACAACTGCTTGTAGCATTATCTTTGTGAGTGTGAAATACAGAATCACTGGATTCTGGGTACAGGAATCAGAAGATACCTTCCCATCTGAAAATGTCTTCTTTATTACAGCATTCTTTTCATCAATATTATTTTTTTCATTTCTTTCATTTAAGACCCTTCCCTGCATGCTTTCTACTTGAAACAATAAAATAGCTGTTTAGCACATAATACAGTTCCCAGGTCTGGGGTTATTGGGAAGCAGATTAAGAAGCATGGATCTGGCATCATTTGTGGGGTCACATACAGTATGTGGGATCTGGAATGGGCTGTGGGGATCTGGGGTAACAATTTCCAGATCAGGGTCTTCAGAGGGACCTGGTTTGAGAATCCTGGATCAGGGTCTTCAAAGGGATGGGAAGGGTTGGGAAGACCCTGATCCTGGATCAAATCAGGGTCTTCAGAGGGACTGGGATTGGGAAACCTGGATCAGGGTCCACAGAGAGACTGGGCTTGGGAAGACTGGACCAGGGTCAGAAGAGGGACTGTGATTGGAAAGCCTGGATCAGGGTCTTCAGAAGGAATGGGATTGGGAAACCTGGACCAGGGTCCGCAGAGAGACTGGGCTTGGGAAGACTGGACCAGGGTGAGAAGAGGGACTGGGATTGGGAAGCCTGGATCAGGGTCTTCAGAAGGAATGGGATTGGGAA